CCCTCCTCCCCAGCCCGCTACTAGCCAATGATTGTAGGGTCAGATACTGGAAGGGGCTGTCTGAGTTTAGCACACCAAGGGGGAGGGAGTGACATAGGAGGCTAGGATTGGATACAGGAAGGAGGCATCTGGGATTGACGCGTAGACAAGAGTACGTGACCTAGGAAGTCAGACTCAGGAGGGGACTGGGTCAGTGCTGCACAAGGTCAGGAAGGTCACAAGAGGCATCTGGGGATGACGTTGCATATAGGGAGGGGACTAAGCAGAGGGAACTCAGTCCTCTGCCATCCCACTCCCACGTGGCACCGCCCCTTGCCTCAGGAGTTCAGGCTCGGCTACTTCCTTGCACCCAGCTTATCTCATAGCATTGCCCAATTGCCTCATGGCTTCTCCGAATCCAGCCCATCCCAGTACACACGACTCTGCCTACCACAGTCCCTGCCTCGACTTCCAAAATACCCAGATCTTACCTTACCCATGCCACAGTACCCGACTGGCAGCTGCCAACATCAGACAGTCCCTCACACTTCTTCCCTAAATATGTTATATGTAAATACTTTATATTAATTTGCATTTGTTCTACTAATGTTTACTCTGTGTGTATATACACCTGTCTCCCTGTGAGAATGCAAAAGAATGTTAGAGTAATGATTAATTCTTTGTATCATCAGCCCTACCAGAGTGCCTGACATATAGTAGGTATTTAATAAATGCTCAACTGATTGATTGATAGAACAATTTAAACAGAAATGGAGAAGTTTAGAAGAGGTAAGGGGAGGAAGATAAATTCTGTTTTCAACATGTTGAATTTGAAAAATCCATTTTGAGGTGTCCAAAAGGCAATTAGTGTTAAAGACAATCTGGGCATTTTATGCATAGCATGTTTATGTCAACAAGTGAGAGAGAGCTGAATGGACCCCTAGACAGAATCTTGAGGTACACCTACAGTTGAGGGTATATGTATGATGATCCAGAAAAAGAGATTGAGAAAGAACTACAACCCAAAGTGAAGAAAGTATATATGCAGGAGGAGAGGATGGTCAACACTATCAGATTCTAAGAAGAATGAGGACTAAGAAAAGGCCATCAAATGTGGCAATTAAGAGATCACTGGTAACTTTGAAAACAAGAGTTTTAGTTGAGTGAGGAGTTGGGGTTAATGGGGAAATTTAGATCCTAGGACACTGGAAGAATGGTGTTACCTTAGTTAGAAATAGAGGAGTTAAAAAGAATTTTGGATGACAGGTAATGTAATTATAGCTTATCTGTACCTGCCTGTCCTGTGCTATTCACTCTTCCACCAAAAAAAATAGGAGATGAGCTTACTGGCCACTATCCCAGAGCACAGTTTGCAGAGCCCACTATTGCAGTGATGAGGGCTGGAAGTGAGGGTGCAAGGACAAGGGAGCAGAGGAAATAGAGGATTTGGCCTGCCACCTACTCTAGGTGGCTAGATTGGTTTAGGTTATAAAGGCCCTGAGGGGCCCATACTTGGAGCAGCTATGGAGGCCAGTGGTGGGAAGGGGAAAGTAAGGCGTTTCAAAGAAAGTAAGGTAGTCTTTTGGAAACAAGATCACAATTTGTTAGGGGAAAAATAGGAAAGGAGGTGGACCAAGACCCATCTTCTTTTCTGATTGGTTGATCACAAACCCTTTGGAATCAAGCTATGGCCCACTTTGGGTCATTTCATAGGTGCTCTAGGGGGATGATGACCCACTTTGGAAACCTCTGCCCTGAATGACAACATAAGGCAAATGATAAAAAAAAATTAATTAGTCCACATGATCCACAGAATATACCAAGGTCAATTTACAAAGGCCTGGAAAATTTCACTTTAAATTAAGACACTTCACTTAAAAAATTATTATTAACTTGACAATCTTCAATAAACACAAGTATTTCAAGATGCAAAGAAGAGGAAAAGGATAGTTTAAGAAACAGTCGACTTTGTTATGTGCAGGTTTTCTCTAAAGAAATATATAAATTAAATTTAACAAAGGAGTAACTTTCAGCCATGCCTCCTGGTTTTGCCCTGTAAGATCAAAAAATCTAATTAATCTCCCAGGTGGTAGCTCTTCAGGTATTTGAAGGCAGCTGTCATGTCCTTCCACAGCCTCAATTCAGTCAGCCAGTCCTCATATGTCTTCAACTCAAGGACCTGAATTCTGATGGCTTTTCTCTATAAGCTCTCCATCCTTTCTAAACTATTCTTCCTAACCTGTAGCTTCCAAAGCAGAACACAATGCTCCTGACCTGGCCTGACTGAGACAGGCATCTCCTCGGGCACTCAGTGGTTAGGGAGAGCTGAGGCATTATTATTTTCTCAGACTATAGTGTCAAGCATAAGACATAGTTATTAGTACACTAATATCTATAATTACTCATATAATTTTAAATAAGCAAATATACATATGTTTGGAGTATACACCAAAAAGCATTTTTTTTTTACTGAAAGGGATACATGCTTGAAATTAGAGACACTGAGGTAAGTAACATCACTGAAACAATGTGTAATAAGAAAAGGAGGTGGACAGGCATGTCCTATGAGCAAAGGCTAACAAATGGAGTGTTCAGATGCTGTATGGGGAGCTAAAATGTGAAAAGATCTACAGGAAGGTGTCTAATACATCAGGCATATTTTCTGTATAGAATCTATGAAAGACTAGAGTTATAAATCATACTGGATAAAAATACATGGATAGGAGCAATCTACACTGATAGAGAGAATGTCAACAATGGTGAAATCACAGATTACACAGTATTTTCCTCATAAAAGTCCTTTGGTAAAACAAAAATAAGAATCTAAGTGTAACAGGTCCCTCCTCCCATCCTGTGCTCCATACATGATCAATCACTATTCCTGGAAACCATATGAAAGTTTGCAGTGAGTCTACTTCCAGCCATGTATGATGAAGAGTGCCCTAAATGACTATTGGACACAACTCAGTGGTTGTACAAAAGGGATGATTCACCACTCTGATTCACTCTTCCTTACTGGATTCAAAGTGTGAAGACTCTTCTGAGTTTTCTCCAAAAAAGTCTGAGGAACAGACAGTGGCTATTCTATCCCCCACCTCATCCCAGTGGCCACGACCACATATTCTACTTCAGCAAGCCTGTGCCTGGGATGGAGCCACTTCTCTTCTGTGTTTCCTTTCCCTAAGTAAATGACCTTGTGAGGTTAGAAAGGTCTGGAACTCTGTGTTAGCAGCAGCTGCCGCCACCTTGTTCCCTGGCACAGGGAACTGACATGGCAAAGGCAGAGGTAGTAACAGAGATCAAGGGAAACACCTGCATCAGAGAGAATGGCACTGAAGAGAAAAGCCTGACCCTGTTTGGCTGCTTCACATACAGGCTTGTCACCAGCAAACTATGTTATGTCCTAAGAAGGTCAATCCTATTTCAATCATTTTGTTGATGTGTCCTGATTCTTTTTACAGCTATCGTTGCTTTCTGCATAGAAATAAATGACCTGTGCTAAACCCAATTCATAGTATGTATCTTTTACTTTCTCCATTTTGGAGACCTGGGCATGAACAGCTCAAACTACGATTAGCCTGTTCCTGGGGTAAGAGTTTGTCATAGAGAAAAGAAACAGGAAAATGAGAGCATAAGCCCCCAAACTAAAAGTCAGTCTTCCTCATTCATGAATCTGGTACGAACCAAAATAGATGGGTACAAAACAGTGAGTGGTGCAGGTTGCTTTCTAGCCAAGCAAATTATTCCACAGATCAAGTCAGTGGCAGGGATCTGGGATGAGGTATTTGAGATACTAATTGGACATTAGATGGACCTAATCAAGGACCCTGTTGGAAGCAAAAGTATCCTGAAAAGAGAACTGGACTTAAAGTCAGATGAGCTCAGTTCTGATCCTTTCTCAACTTGTGAGCTCTGTGACCTCAAATAAATCAGTTCTCTCTGGGCTTCACTTTCCTCATCTTGAAAATGAGAGTGTTTTAACCAGCTAACATTTTAAATTCCTTCCAATTTAAAAGTCTATAGTCCAATGGTTTTTAATTCTTAAGAATTTCTTCCTTAAATCCAGCCTAAATTTGCCATTTTTCAACTTCCAGCCATTGTTCCTGGTTTTGCCTTCTGGGGCCAAACAGGAAAAGTCTAATCCAGGCCTGCACAACGTATGGCCCACAGGCAGTATGTTGTGCAAGCCTGCTTTAGATCCTCTACATTTTTCACAGGGCGCCCAAAATCCTTTTGTGAGAGCATGCAGGCCGAATGTTGTGCAGGCCTGGTCGAATCCCTCTTCAATATGGCAGCTCTTCAAATACCTGAAGGCATCTGTCATATCTCTCCACCCCCACCCCCCAATCCATTCTTCAACTTCTGACATTCTTTGGTTCTATGATTTCAAGGTTCCTGGCATTCTATGATTGTCTGAATAGGAGTAAATACTAGTGGTAAGAATTAAGAATGAGATGATCCTAACTGGGAAGCCTAGCCAATGGCCTGGGATGAGGGAGTGAGAGTGGTCAATGCAGAAGCACAGATATTAGAAGTTAAAATACAGTCAATATGAAGTTTATTATCACTGCAAATAACAGCATGGAAAAAGTCATAATATCAATGCACATGCTTTAGAATAGTTTATTAATCAAATCTTTGGAACAGTGGCCAAAAAAAAATAATAAAAATCTTGCATCTTAACATACTGTTGGTGTTTGGTTGGTCTCGGAAAAAATTTTCTAATCTGAGCCTGTAGCCAGCTTGCTTGAAGTGACCGTGTGCTTCCACAGTAAGGAAAATAGGAAGGATATATGGAAATTATAAGAAGGCAGATTCTGTTATAACATAAAAAAGAACTTTGTAACAATTTAAGATTATCTGGCAATGAAAGAAGCTGACTTAGAAAACAATGAATTCCTTGTTCCAGAAGAACTTAGAAGAGTAGAATCATAGATTTAGAATTAGAAAGAATCTTAGATGCCAATAAAGTCAATTACCTAATTTTACAAATGAGGAAACTGAGACACAAAGAGGTAAAGCGACTTGCCCAGGGACTCACAGCTATTAAGTGTCTGAGATGGTATTTGAATTCAGGTCTTCTTAGCTCCAAGTCCCCTGCCTTATCTGGATAACTCTTTGTCAGAGGTACTAAAGAAGAGACAGAGTGTTTGATTGGAGGATCTCCATGCTCCCTTTCTATTATGAAATTTATAATTGACTGTCACAGTATCACAGAATTTCAGTTGAAAGGGACTTCAGAGATCATCTCACTGTATCTGAGTAGGAACTCACATTACAATATCCTCAACCTGAAGTGATTATACAACCTTGAAGACCTCTAGTGATGAAGAACGTACTACCTTCTGAAATGGTTTGTTTCACTTTGAGATGACAAATAATTAAAGAGCTTTTCCTCACTTTGAGCCAAAATCTGCCTCTGCAATTTCCATCCACTGTTTCTGATTCTGCCCTCTGAAGCCAAACAAAATCTAACTCCTTTCCCTCGAAACAGACATTAAAGTACTAGAAGACAACTGAGACTTCTCTTCTCCAAGATAAACATTCCTAGTTCCTTAAGGCCAGCTAGGTGGTGAAATAAATAGAGTACCAGGCCTAGAGTCAGGAAGACTCATCTTCCTTGAGTTCAAATCTGGCCTCAGACACTTACCAGCTGTGTGACCCTGGGCAAGTCGCTTAACCCTGTTTGCCTTTCATCTACAAAATGAGCTGGAGAAGGAAATGGCAAACTACTCTGGTACCTTTACCAAGAAAACCACAGGGGTCATGAAGACTTGGACACAACTGAAAAACAACTGAACAACAAAGATTAGATATCTCTAAAGTCTCCTCCTTCCATTTTTTTCCAAGGGAGATTTTGATTCCTGCCAATAGGGGAAGCAGGAGATTATAGCCAGAGCCTGGCCACTCTACTTTCTTCAGAGAAAAAAGGAGTAATAGGCTAGAATTATATTTGTCTTCTCCCTTAAATATTGTTACTTTAAAGAAAATAATTTTCATATTCAATCTGTTTTCCTGATCACTATCTCTCAATAGGAAAAATGTTCCCCAGGCTACATATCCAAGGTTTGACTCCCTTCCCACTAAATGCCAAAGTTCCAAAATAAGCACACATAGCAAACAATGAATAAACCCATTTATCTAAGCCAATAGCAGAAGAGAAGGTACACATATGAGAATATATCAAATAATACAGAGTGAATGAGTAAGGGAGCATTGGGAGCAAGACAACTCAGTTCAACCAAGAAAGAGAGTTTCAGATCTCACCCAAGGAGAAATTGCCTGAAATCTTTAGTGTATAGTAAACTAGGGATAGGGATGTGATAGAGATGCTTTCTCCTCTACTTGTCAGCTTCTTTCTCAGGGTCTCTTCCTTCTGGGACCTGATGAGAATAGGAACTACGCATCTTGTCTTCTGAAGCTAGAACCCAAAAGACCAGATCTCTCCTCTCTCAAGCTTTTGCCAAATTCTCCCTTCACACAGGCATGGAGTATTGAATAATTATTCTCCACCAATGAAGATAATCCTGTACAAATGGGCTTTGAGGCATGCATCACACTTTGATGGACTTTTTGGACTCAGAATGCAGGGGTAAAAATAGTACTCACACCAATGCAGATGGATTCTCATGGGTGTCTTCTTATCCTGGGAAATTCTTGTCCATAAATCTTCTATAGAGGAGCTATATCCAAGAGGCCTTTCTGTATGGCTTTTAATATTGAGTGGATTCTAGTGCCTCTGAGATTATTAAGCTTTATTCTCACTACATGACCAACCCGCCTCCTTTTCAGTTGATAGATGTCCACATTAGTGCCTCTAATATGTCTCTCCCATAACCCACTCCAGCCTTAACCTCTCTCCCTAAAGGGGTAAAAAGTTATTCCCCCTTTGGGATTGGGTTCTTACTCAATTGCTTACTCCTGTCTGAACTGACTCCATGAGCTGGTGACATCAGCTTTTTAAGGGGTCACATGGGCATGGCCAATCTTTGCCCATCCAATAGTGCTGTCCCTTCCATTCAAGCAAGGAACTGTTTTAAATTTCATTAAGGAGTGACAAGATATAGACTCTTCCCATAGTTAAACACTTCATTATTTGCCTCTTACTTTAATTAGGACTAGGTAGAAACTAAATCATATATGTATATACATATATATGTATATTTAATTCATATCTATGGGTGAATATGTGTGCATGGAGATAGATAGATAGATAGATAGAAAGATTGATAGATATAGATGTTTTTGCACTTCTTAGGCTAGGATAGTGATCAGAAACCAACTCTCCCATACATATACATGTATGCATATCAATTTCTGATCAATACTCCAACCCAGGAAGCCCAGAATATTTATGAGTGTATACACACACACACACGATTGCACACACACACGCACATACACACACATGCACATGCACACATGCATGCAAGCACACATACTCACATATATATAAGGTATACATAAATAAACACACATACTTTAAGATTTACAAAATACTTTCCTCACAAAAACCCTGGGAGCTAGGAACTGCAAGTGTCATTATCCCCACTTTACAAATGAAGAAATAAAATAAGAGTCGCATAACTATAAGTGTCAGGGCCAGGATTCAAACCCTGGTCTCTCCTGATTTAAAGTCTACTGCTCTTTGATGACAAGATTTGAGAGGCATCTACATAGAAGTTGAAACCATGGGTGTCTGGAATCATCTGCATCTGGAGAAGGAGATACCAGAATCTTGTTTTTCAGAAGGAAATCATCATGACGGAGCAAACCTAATATAAATGAACTTGAATACCCTGAATCTCAGGGACATGAGACATATGGCTCTTAGAAAAAAGTGTAATGTATTTCACATATCTGGGGATTTTGTAAAAATCAATAATTCCTCCTATATCTTTTATTCAATACAGTTTTGGTGAGGGATTAAATTATAGCACTGACTATATCCTGGCAAGAAAGTACCCTATGTTCATCTCAAAGCACCTCTTCTTCCAAGAAAACGTCAATTAATCCTGCTAGTCCACTCTTAAACTCTGATTCAGAGCAAGCAGAGGAGGAGCTATGAAGAAACTGCTGACTGACTGTATTCCAGGAACCACTGATCTATGTCAAAATCTGCCTTCAGGACTTAAGAAAAGGTCTAGAACCATAAAACTGACCAAAATGAATGATAGAGTGGGGACTTTCCAAATGTCACCAAATCAAATGGTAATGGAATCGTTGAATCCTCTTCCTTCCGTCCAATACACATGAACTTAATTCTTCAAAGTTCCAAATTGCTTCTTTCGCCGCTTCATTTTTCTACATGACTACTGATGACATCATTACAGCTGAGGTTGTGAAACAAAATGTAAAAGTCCTTTCAAGTCTTCTCCAGAACACAGAAAAACACCTCCCCAGTCAGTTCTCCTAAAACTAAAAACTCAGCCAAAGGAGTACTTTGAGTCCATTCTTTGCCTCAGACAAGTAAGTAACTGACAAACTTTGTTAAGTTTGAGTTTTTAACTGCCTTAAATTATGGGGCTAGAGCTAAATTCTCTGGAAATATTTTGTTTCTCTTCTTAAACGTTCAAATATTCTTTGACTTTCTGCTCACTTGGGGATCCAGATTTTTTCTGATATTAATTTAGTTCAATTTAACAAGTACTTCTTGGGCATTTCTGCCACTTTGGGGTGTAGGAGGATTTGATTATAAGGGGGAAAGAAGAAAGATGTTATTTCAGAGTTTTTTCTTTTAAAAAATGGTTGGGTATTTTTAGGCTAAAGTAAACAAACACAGAATTTTATAACTAGAAGGTATTAGCTAGTCTAACTCTTTCATTTTACAAATAAGAAAACTATGATCTAGCAAAGGAGAATGACTCAATCAGAGTTACATAAACAGTGAGTTTGTGATAGAGAGGGGTCTAGAATCCAGATGGTTCCTGGTCCATAGCTTTTTCTACTCCACTGGTTCAAAACAGCCATGTTCTGTAAATTAGGAAACATGAAAGCATCCCACAAGAGTATTTAATATTTCAAAATCTGTATGGCAAATTGAAGCCTTTTGACTTCTAAAATATTAAGCAGGTTAATTTGTAATAGTTATATGCAAAATATAGTCACTATCTTTATTTTTCATAATTATTGATAGCTCAAGTTTATATGCCCTTTTGTAACCATAAACCAGTGATTTTGAGAATTAAAACACGTTGTGCCTTATTTTGTTTGTATTTCAAGTGTTATTTTGAAGAAAGACAATTTATTGGTTAAAACAACTATCTCTCTAAATAGCCCACATCAATGTGAAAAAATGTCATTCACTAAGTGACAAATTGAATTCAGTTTGATTCAAATCTATAAACATTTAAGTTTATATGGGCAAGGTACTGTTCTAGGTGCTATGAAATACAAAGCAAAAAAATGAAACCCTGTCCTAAAGGAATTTACATTCTAATGGGGAACAGGAGGGGAAAAAAAATAGGGTGGAGGGGAGGTGCAATGTATACACAAGTGAATATAGAATATGTACAAAGTAATTGCAAGAGGAATTGAGGACTAGGAACTGGTGGGATCAGGAAGGGCTCTTAAAAATCATAGAAGTCATAGCATATTAGATCTGGGAAAGAACTTAAAATGTTTGTGTGGTTGTGTTCGAGGAGCCCTGGGATTACATACTTAGGAATTTTGCCCTTCTACTTCCCCCTTTCTCTTTGGGGAAAAAAATCCATTTAAGAAATATACATGGTCAAACAAAATGAATCCTCACAACTGCCACATTCAAAAAATGAGACCTTTTTTGGACATGGCAATTGTGGAAATTCATTTTGCTTGACTATGTACATTGCGTCTATCACTTCTGTCTCCTCACAGAGGTGGGTAGTATAGTCATTATCAGTCTTATGCAATAACAATTGGTCTTTGCTCTGATCAAAGTTCTTAAGTCTTTCAAAGTTATCTGTCCATACAATGTTATGTTATGGTATAAATTGTTCTGGTTTGGCTAATTTCATTCTATATCAGTACATACAAGTCTCCCCAGGCTTTTTTTTTCCTGAAACTAGTCCTTTTGTGACCTCCTACAACACTAGAGTATTCAATTACATTCTTATACCATAATTTCTTCTACCATTCCCTAATAGATAGGCACCCCCATATTTTCCAGTTCTTTGCCATCATAAAAAAAGAGTTGCTATTATAGTTACTTGTTCCCATTTCTTTGATTTATTTAGGTTATAAACCTAGTGGTGGTATCACTGAGTAGAAGAATATGCACAATTTAATGACTTTCAGGGCCTAGTTCCAATTTGCTTTCTAGAATGGCTGGACCATTTTGTGGCTCCACCATTTTTGTACCTGTTTTCTGGTAACCTATCAATCTGATAGGTATAAAGTGGAACCTCAGAGTTGCATTAATTTATATTGCTCTTATCATTAGTGATTTGGAATGTTTTTTTTTCATATGGCAATTTTGATAGCTTGGATTTCCTCCTTTGAAAACTACCTGTTCATATCCTTCTTTTGACCATTTATTAAATGAGGGATCACTTTCAATTTTACAAATTTGAATCAATTCTTTATATATCTTGAAAATGAGATCTTTATCGGAAAATTTATAGCACAGATTTTTCCCCCAGTTCAAGGCTTCCGTTCTAATTTTTAGCTGCCTTGGCTTTGTTTGAATTTTTTTTTTAATTTTATGTAATCAAAGTTGTCCATTTTATCTTCTGTGATCCTCTCTATCCTTTTTTTAGTTATGAACTGTTTCCCTATCCATAGGTCCAAAAGGTAATTTTTTCTTGCTCACATAATTTATGACATGACCCTTTATGTAGAAGTCATATATCCATTTGGAACTTGTCTTGGTATAGAATTTGAGATGTTGAGTGTTGATCTATATCTAATTTCTGCCAGACTTCTTTCCAGTTTTTCCAGCAGGTTTGTCAAATTTTTTTCTTATTCCATTAGCTAGAGTGTTTGGGTTTATCAAACACTATGCTACTGTGTTAATTTACTTCTATATTCTGTGTACCTGATCTGTTTCATTGATCAACCTCTCTGTTTCTTAACTAATAACAAATCATTTTGATGATTAGTGCTTTGTTGCATAATATGATAACTAGTGCTACTCAGCCTGCTTCCTTCTCACTTTTATTTTTCATTATTTCCCTTGAGATTCTTGACCTTTTTGTTCCTCCATATGAACTTTGTTATTATTTTTTCTAGTTCTCTGAAGTACTCCTTTAGCAGTTTGATTGGTATGGTATTTAAGAAGTAAATTACTTTAGTTAGTATTGTCATTGGCTTTGCCAATAATTGATATTAATAATTAATATTGCTCCAATTATTTAGTTCTACAAAGATTTTTATAGTTGTATTCATAAAGTTCCTATGTGTGTCTTGGTAGGCAAAATCTCAGGTCTTTTGTACAATCTGTAGTTATTTTAGCTGGAATTTCTCTATTTCTTCTTGCTGTGCTTTGTTGATATTATATAGAAATACTGATGATTTATGTTAATTTATTTTATATTGTGTAGCTTTCTTGCCTACTGTTTATCACATCTGCAAAAAGCAGCAGTTCTTTTCCTTCTTTGCCCATACTTACTACTTCAATGTCTTTTTTCTTGTCTTATTGCAATTGTTAGCACTTCTAGCACTACATCAAATAGTAGTGGTGATAATAGACATCCCCTGATCTTAATGTAAAGTCCTCTGGTTTATCCCCATTACATATGATAGTGGCTCTGGGTTTTAGATAGATACTATTTATTATCTTAAGGAAAAAGCCCATTTATTTTTATGTTTTCTAGTGTTTTTAACTAAAATACATGCGTCTTATTAAAAAAATTCTGAATCAATTGATATAACCATTTGTTTTTCTCATTATTAATATAGTCTAATTATGGTGATAGTTTTCCTAATTTTGAATCAACCCTGAATTTCTGGCATAAATCCACCTTGATCACAGCACATCATTTTTTGACAGGTTACTGTAGTCTCTTAGCTAATATTTTAATTCTTGTGTCAATGTTCACCAAGATTAGTATTCTATAGTTTTCTTTGTTTTGATTCTTATTGGATATTAGGTGCCATGACCAAAAACGTATCACAGAGGAAATTTGGAAAGACTGTATTTTTAGCAATTCAGGCAATATTAGAATTAATTGTTCTTTGAATGTCTGATAGAATTTAGGTGTAAATCCATCTAGTCCTGAGGTTTTTTTTCTTTGGGAGTTTATGGTTTGATTAATTTCTTTACCTGAATTTTGGGTTTTTTAATTCTTAATTTCTTGTTTTCTTAATCTGGGTAATTTATTTTTTTTCTGAACACTCATCCATTTCATATAAGTTCAGTTTTATTGGCACATAATTGGACAAAATGGTTTATAATAATTTCTTTTATTTCTGCTTTATTTGTTGTAAATTCTCCTTTTTCATTTTTTATTTTGGCCATTTAATTTCCCTCTTTCCTTTTAAAAATCAAATAAGCTGTTATATCTTTAAAAAAAACACGATTGGGTCATTTGTTTCCAATTTAGTTAATCATCTTTAATTTTTGGAATTTCTATTACAGTGTCGATTGGGTTTCTTTTTATTTTGTTTGGGTTTTTTAGTTGTAGGCCCATTTCACTGATCTGTTCCTTTCCTCCTTTGTTGATATAAATGTTTAGAGATCTAATTTTTCCCCTAAAGGAATGTTTTGCTGAATCCTAAAAATGTTGGTATCTTGTTCCATTGTTGTCTATGTTTAATGCAATTAGTTATTGTTTCTATGATTTATTCTTTGACCCACTGCTTCTTCAGGATTAAATTACTTACTCTCCAGTATAATTCTTTCTTCGAAAGTCTTTTATGGAATATAATTTTTATTGCATTATGATCAGCAAAAGTTGTGTCTCTTCCTTGGAATCATAGAACCTTAGAATGTTAGAGATGGAGCAGACCTTAATGCTCATCTCGTCCATTTTCCTAATTTCACAGGTAGGAAAACTAAAGCCCAGAAAGGAAAGCAACTCATAATATGTTAATAGTAGCACTAGGGATGAAACCCAAAACTCTTTTCATTAGTTGCCCTTCCTTTCTCCCCAAGCCCTCACCCCCACCCCACATCTCTAGGAGCATATTTGTTCTGCCACCTAGCATTTATGTTTTCAGATTCATCTCTCCATGCTGAATAAAGATTTTGACTCTGCTGAAAAATATTTTCGACATCACAGGAAGATATTTTTGAGGCAGCTGGGATTTCTCAAGAACTCTAAAATCTTACAAGACAGGGAATCTTTCTTTTGAGTGTTGGGCTATTGCCAACTATCTTACGTGGGCATTAGCACATTGTTCTCTTTAAACTCCCCCACACACAATGTTTCAGGTGATAAAGAGAGAAGGAGGAGAAGGACTGAGGACAGGGTCAAGGAAATACAGGTCCATTCACTTGAAGGAGAGGAACTGAAACAATTCTGCCCATACCTGAGCTAGAGGGGGAGTTTTTAGGTGAGGTCACTGCTACAGAACAAAATTAGCATATAGACATCAAAATAGCTTGTCTTTGGTATTACTCATTATTCACTGTTCATGGTGTAGGAGTGAAAAGTTTGGTGAGACTCAAACAAACAGTGAATTAATAGTTCAGCTATAGTGGTCTGGTGCTTTTTGAAGTTGCATGTAGCCATTGGCTACCTACCCACTAGGAGAAGCAGCCAATAGCCCATTTGGCACATCTATATTCCCTGGGGTCTGTGTATGGGGCCACACATGACTTCACTATATAACTTATATGAGTCTATATCTTGACTCTGGAGTCAAACAAAGGATCTGAGTGATGACGTCCCTGCCTGTCTGGACCTTATTGGTTGGATCCAATTCCCCCATCCTGAAGGAAGGGATGCCTAATAGTGGTAACCAGGGTACAGGGTATGTGTAGTTATTTTTTTTTAAATAACACATTTTCATCATATTTTCAGTGCCTTCTAATACCCTAACAATTGGACAAGGTCATTTCACAGCACAATAAAATTATAAGGGATTGTTATAATCATTAGGATGGGAAACAAATGATTTTCTTTGCTAGGGTGGGGTGAGGTGGGAGAGTAAGAATAGATGCTTTTCCTTTTGTTTACTCTCCTTGTTTGTTGAGGCACCAGAGATTTATACTTTCCTATTTGTAGTTCCTTTTAGATTGAAGTCAATGGCAACCCAGACACCGCCAGAATTTTCCATCTCAAAACAAATTAACTCTTTCCAGAATACAAGCTACTGCATGGATACAAAAGAGCTCTGGGATGTGTTGTACAGTGTGCTACCAACATCGATCATTGTCATCTTTTTTTTTGGTTTACTAGGAAATATATTTGCCCTGTCCATCTTCCTCTTGCTCAGGAGACGCCTAACTGTGGCAGAAATTTACTTGACTAACCTGTCAGCATCTGACTTGGTGTTTGTCACGGGTTTGCCCTTTTGGGCAGAAAGTGTCCAAGAGCAGTTCTTTTGGCCATTTGGCCATGCCTTTTGCTACATCATCAATGGAATCATCAAGGCCAACATGTTCATAAGCATCTTCTTGGTGGTGGCCATCAGCAGGGACCGGTATATTGCTTTGGTTCACACTATGTCCAGCCAGGTACAACGCAGCCACCGACAAGCCCAGATCATCTGTGTTTTCATCTGGTTCTTGGGTGGTCTTCTAAGCATCCCCACTTTTATGTTCCGATCAATGAAAAGTGTCCCAGATCTGAACGTCTCTGCCTGTATACTTCAATTCCCCCATACAGTATGGTATTCTATCAGGATTATTGAGCTGAGTGTGGTGGGCTTCATCATCCCCCTAATTGCCATCATCTTCTTCAACTCTCAGATAATAACCTCCTTGAGAAGTCGAACTAAGACCAATATAAAGAGATCAGGAAAGACAAGGGACACTAAAGCCACCACTCTGATCCTTACCCTAGTGACTGTTTTCATAATATGCTGGACTCCATACCATTGCTTTGCTATCCTGGAATACCTATTCTGGGTGAAAGCTGTCCAGGGCTGCTTCTGGGAAGAATTAATTGACTTGGGCTTGATATATGCCAATTTCTTTGCTTTCCTCAACAGTTGCCTGAATCCTGTGATTTATGTCTTTGTGGGGAAACTTTTTAGGGTCAGGGTTTATGAAGTTTATAAGCAATGCACTGCCAAATGTTCTGTCAATGTATCCTTAGGATAGAAAAAAAATCCTCTGCTTTTATTTGAGCCATTAAAACATTAGAAGGATTGTTGTTAGATTCTCATTGTTGCATTTTATTTTCTCCACATTGGAAAGAGGGCTCCCACTGCATAAGGGAACATTTCCCATTTCAAACCTATCAGGGATTCTCTAGTAATGCTGTTCTCACTTATACTCCACATATCCACCTCCTCCACCTGCAGGCATTCTGTCTTCCATTGTAGAGGCCATGAGGAGCTCAGAAACATGCCATCCAGATATGCAATAGACCACGTTTCCTCATCACAGCTATCCCCATTATTGACAAAACTATGTAAGAAGGAGGCACAAGGACCCACAAAATAAGAGCTCCCTGACCCATAACCTCCTTCCACCACACACACACACACACACATACACACAGCTCTCACACTCAGCAAGTCTCTGTACAGCTGCTAGGCTACACGCTTAAATCTTAATTCAAACTGCATCTCTTTCTCTTATTTACCCAACCCATCTACTCTGCTCACTCCCAATCTCTCTCTTTCCTATACATAGAACCCTCCCCTACTTCACACCTGTTAAAGTTCTCAAGCTCCTACAGTCCCCCCACCCCTTCACATGCTCCTGTTTTCTCTTCTTCACACTCACACAACTGTGTTCCATGCTAACTAAGCCACCAACTTCAAATTATTTCTGAATACAAATTCTTTCTCTATCTACATACCCAGTGGCTAATTTTTATAATACCCATAACACCAGTAATAAGAGTACATCCCAACACTTCTCAACTAATGCTAGGAATTCTCAGCAGCCATCTGTCCCTGCAACCTTAGATACCCTGTCACAGCCCTTTTTGCTGACAACCTCAGATTCTAGCAAACCTTAGTATTTTAGAGGACTCAACTTGGTAACAGAAAACCTGGGTTTGCATGTGGACTTGGCACTTTCCTTGCTGGGTTGTGTAACTATAGACAAGTCATTTTGCCACTAACACATACAACCACAACCCACACCCCACTCTAAATCTCAGTCACCATAATAGCAAAATGGGAATAAAAGTGTTTTTTTGTCACAAGACACTTTGTAATCCACAAAGTAGCATGTCAATGTGAGTTACAATTATCATCATTATAAGGCAGCATAATCCAGAAGAGCAAACCAAGTTCTGGCTACTACAATTATGAGCTATAGGATTTGGGGGCAACTCATCTCTGAATTTCAGTTTTATCATCATTGAAATGGGGATGATTGCATCTATTTCATAGGATTGTCATGAAGATCAACTAGGATAATGTATGGTGAGTACTTTACAAACCATAAGGCACTATATTGATGAGAAATGTAGTAAATAGTGACCTGGCTTTAGGGCCAGGGAAAGCTGAGTTCAAATTTAACCTCTGACACAATAAAGCTGTGTGACCCTAGACAAGTCACTTAACTTCTCAAGGATATCAGCAGCTAAAACTATGAGTTGTAGAGAATAAGCTGACCTGCATTGGTAAAAGGAGTTTCCCTATCCTGGAGTTCTCTATACTAATGAAATCAACAGATTCAAAGATCTTTCCCTAATACCCCTTAAAACAAAACCCACCTATTTGCTGTTGAAAGTGGCTGGAAGAAAGGGAGGCAGATGATGTCCTCTCTTTCTTCCCACTTCACTTAGGCAGGAGTCTCACATATCAGTCCTTTAGTTCACAGGCCCTCAAGAATAAGGAAATAGGTGTCAGACATAGGGCCTTTACTAGACATAGAGCTTTGGGCTTGGGTTCAGTAGACCTTCCTTCTCTTCCCCAAAGAACATTCATCACCTGGCTTGCCCCTTGATATGCAGTTAAGGTATTCAGTCTCTCATCCTTATTAGGGTTGTTGTTGTTCAGTTGTTTTAGTTGTATCCAATTCTTTGTGACCCCATTTGGGGTTTTCTTGGTAAAGATACCAGAGTAGTTTGTCATTTCCTTTTCCAGCACATTTACAGATAAGGAAACTGAGGAAAACAGGGGCAAGAGACTGCCCAGGACATTATGAAATGCAAAATGGGGATAATTTTGATTACATTAAATTGAAAAGGTTTTGCGTAAACAAAACCAATGCAACCAAGATTAAGAGGGAGGCAGAAAAATGGGAAAGAATCTACAACCAGTGTCTCTGCTAAAGGCCTCGTTTCTAAAATATATAGAGAACTAAGTCAAATTTAAAAGAATACTAGTCATTCCCCAATTGATAAATGGTCAAAGGATATGAACAGGTAGTTTTCAGACAAAGAAATTAAATCTATCTATAGTCATATGAAAAAATGCTCTAAATTTCTATTGATTAGAGAAATGCAAATCAAAACAATTCTGAGGTACCACATCACACCTATCAGACTGGCTCACAAGCCAAAACAGGAAAATGATAAATGTTGGAGAAAAAGTGAGAAAATCGGAACACTGATGCATTGCTGTTGGAGTTGTCAACTGATCCAACCATTCTGGAAAGCAAGTTGGAATTATGCCCACAGGGCTATAAAAATGTGCATATCCTTTGTGACCCAGTAATACCAGTTCTAGGCTGTATCGCAAAGAGATCATAAAAATGGGAAAAAGACCCACATGCACAAAATATTTATGGCAGCTTTTTCTGTGGTGACAAAGAATTATAAATTGAGGGGATGCCCTTCAATTGGGGAATGGCTGAACAAGTTGTGGTATATGAATGTAATAGAATACTATTGTGTTATAAGAAATGATGAGCAAGCAGATTTCAGAAAAACCCAGAAAGGCTTGTATGGATTGATGCTGAGTGAAGTGAGCAGAACCAGGAGAATGTAGCACACAGTAACAGCCATGTTGTGCAATGACTAACTTTGATAGACTTAGCTCTTCTCAGCAATGCAAGGATCTCCAAAAGTCTCACGATGGAAAATGCTATCCATATCCAGAGGAAGAACTGTGGAGTCTGAATGCAGATCAAGCATACTATTTGCTCTTTTTTCTTCTGTTTTGTTTTGTTTCTTCTTTCTTATAGTTCCTCCTGTTGGTTTTAATTCTTCTTTACAACCTAATGTGACAATACCTTTAATAGGAATGTATATGTAGAGCCTACATCAGATTACACTCTGTCTTGGAGAAAGAGATGGGGAGAGGGGGGGAGAAAATTTAAAACTCAAAAGCATATGGAAGTGAATGTTGAAAACTAAAAATAAATTAATTAATTTTAAAAAAAAAAGACTTGCCTAGAATCTATGTGACCCTGTGCTAGCAAGTGTCTGAGTCCAGATTTGAACTCAAGGAGATAAGTCTTCCTGACTCCAGGCCTGGTGCTCTATCTACTGCACCACCTACCTGCCCTGTCTCATTAGGGTAGAAAATGTTTATTTTGCATTTCTCCTTACCTTTCAATGCCTTTGTCTTTTAGTCTTTGGGAACCTTGAGCATTTGCTGAAGTCTCACAGGGACAGCCCTCTTACCACTTAAATAAAGAACATTGATAACTGTAGAATATCCAAAGAAAGCCCACAAGGATTAAATGAGCCCTTAAGAACTTAATGCTTGGGCATCAGCTGAAGGAATTGTTCAGTCTGTAGAGGAAAAATCTCAAGGAAGACATTATAATTGTCTTTAAATATTTGAAGAGATGTCACGTAAAACAGAGGTTATAAGACTTGTTCCACTTGACCCCAGAGAGTAGAACTAAGAGCAGTTAGAAGCTGCAGAGAAACAAATTTAGGCTTGATGTAAGCAAAAACTTCCTAAAAAATGAAGCTATCCAAAAGTGGAATGAGCTGCCTTAAGAGGGAATGGTTTCCTCCTCATTTTAGGTCTTTAGGCAAATCAGGAACACTAAAGAGAGTATTACCAATAAGGTATGGGTGAGGTTGGAAAGTCTTTGAGATCAAATCCAACCTTGAGACTGAGTTTGTGATTCATTCTTATGTTCCCTGCCTCTCATGCCCGTGATAGACAGGCATACAGGGTATGTTCTGTGTGTGTGTGTGTGTGTGTGTGTGTGTGTGTGTGTGTGTGTGTGTAAGGTTTCAGGCACTTACTGTGTGATATCTTGGGCAAGTTATTTAATTTTTTAGAGCTTCAGTTTCCTCATAATTAAAGGGAGATAATAATAGTAATAACCCCCCTTCAGGGTTGTTTTTGAGGAGCAAATAAGATAACCTATTCAAAGGGCTTTGCAAACCTTAAAGTTCTATATGAATAATAACTATTATTGGCTTGGAAGTGTGTGACCTTGGATAAGTCACTTCCCCACTCCCTAAGTTAAGAAGCAGTTTGGCATAATGGATAGGCCTTTGGACTTGGAATCAGGAGGACTTGAGTTCAAATCTTGCCTCACTACATACCAGCCATGTGACCCTAGGCAAATCACTTAGCCTCTTTATTCCTCAGTTTCCTCATCTGTAAAATGAAGGCAAGTTGGATCAGATGACCTCTAAAAAATATTTAGCTACCAGAAAAGCAATACTATATAACAGAAAGAGCACTAGGAAAGAAGAGACCCCTCTAATGTTCTAATGTGTGACATCAGTCAAGTAATTTTCCATCTCTTGGCCTTGATTTTCTTATCTATAAAATGGGAGATGGGGGGCTGAGAGAGAGAGAGAGAGAGAGAGAGAGAGAGAGAGAGAAAGAAAGAGACTAGATCACTCTAAGGTTTGCTCCTGGTCTAACTAGCATGCTTCTTGTTTTCTCGAACTGACTAATATGCATTCATCCAGCTGAAGTCAGGGAATCAACCATTATTCTATGATCTCTGAGACTGTCTTTTGTATTCTAGGATTAAAATAGATGATCTCTAAGATACCTTCCAGAATTCTATGGTCTATGATTCTAAGGGTCTTCCAACTTTGACTTCTATTTTCTATGATTCTAGGGCCCCTTCAAGCTCCAGCATTCAATGCTCTGCATTCTAAAATTCTGATTTTGACACAAAACCTTTGGAAAGTCACCCTCTTTCATGACTCAGGGTTCTCATCTGTAAAACAGAGACATGGATTCTGCAATTATATTTCCCAGTAAAGAATAGAAAAGATGATGTTGGTAAAAAATCAAAGAACTTTTTTGGAAAAAGAGTGTGATCATAAGAAGCTATTGTGGAGAGAGAAAAGAATACAAGAGTTTACAGTGGCAAGATAAGAAGGTTCGTAGAAGGCTATGGTCAAGGGTTGGGAAGCAGGAGAAGCTATGTATGGCTGAGAAACAATAGCTATCCTGGATTCCAACCTCAGGTAAAGGCTTAGACTGGATAACTACTTGATAGATTCACTGGAGTTAAAGCTGGAAAGGGCTTACCCAAGGTCATGTACCTAGGAAGTAGCAGAGAATTCATTGAAGTCCAAATCTTTAAACTAAATGCAACGCTTTTTCCACCATTTTCCTACCTAGTGTGAGATTCTATGACACTGTGAAGCCCTGAATAGTGGAGTGTTAGGCTACTTGATTGAGGACCAGTGGTAATGGGGCCATGACAGACTGCAGGCAGAATGGGGAGATTCAAGTCTCTGACGTGAACTCATTCAGCTTGGGAGAAATTTTCCAGGCAAGCTCCCCAACATGCTCCTCATCTATGTTTGTGAATCACATCCACAGGAGGATCTGGGAAAGAGTGGCACTACCCACATGACACAGTGGGAGCCAGAGAGGGAGTAACTGGTTTTCTTAATCACCTCTTATAGACAGATAGGTGGCTCGGTCGAGTGTTAGTCCTGAAGTCAGAGAGACCTGGATTCAAATCCAACCTCAGAGAATAACCAGTTGTGTGATCCTAGGCAAGTCATTTAACCTGTTTGCCTCAGTTTCCTTAACTGTAAAATGAGGATAAGAATAGCACTTTCTTCCCAGGGTTATTGTGAAGATTAAATGAGATATTACTTGTGAAGCCCTGAGCAAAGTGCCTGACACACATATACCATTAGGGCTAGGCAGAAATCTGTTGGAAAAAAATAAACTAGGAGTATTTATCACTAAGAGAAGATTTAATGGATGTCTCATTATTGTTTTTAAGTATCGAGAGGGCTGCCATCTAGAAAAAGGAGTAGACTTATTCTGCTTGGCCCAGAGGAAAGAACTACATAGAAACAATGGCTAAATAGTTGCAAAAACAGATTTTGACTACATGTAAGGAAAAATGTCTTGATAATGAGAGCTACCCAAAAGTGGAATGTGCTGTCTCAGGGGGGACTGAATTCCCCATTACTGGAGGATGAGGAGGACAAGAAGAGATTAGACTCCATGATCTCTAAAGTTCCTTCCATTTCTTATATTCTTAATATAATTCTTGTCTTGAGGATTCACTTCTTACACAAATGACTTGGATACCTTTTGGGGGAACATCACTTCTCTAGTTCATTGCTTTTCCAGATAATTGGAGAACTTCAGTATCAATATCTCCCCCATCTACAGCCTCAGGAGAATAGTTATCAGCTTCTCTTCCAAGTAAACAAGCTCACAAAACTGAAAGAATAAACATGTTTAGTCAGGGAAAACAAATAGACTCATATCAAAACTCCTAAAAGATTACCATACCAGTCACCGAGCAGCTCTTCCCCACAGTAGCCAAGACAGTTTTGGCCACATTCAGACTACAATGGGAAGGACTCAGAGTGCCCATGGTTCTCTTTAAGGTGATCAGGACAATTCTTCTAGCTATATCACAACTCACCACATTTCAGCCTGCAGCTCTGCCCAGCACCCATCAACATGACTCTGCTTTCTCCTGCTTACTCAGCCTAGAGGGGGAGGTTTATCTCAGTTTCTCCCTGGAGGATCATCATTGTCCTTTCCCACCACCACCATAATTTCTGATGTCCTTTTCCAGCTTTATTATACACAACTCCTCAAAAACTCTTTGATTCAGCCAAATTGGCCAACTTGCTGCTCCTCAAACA